CCCTTGGTAACCCGGGCGACGACCGAGCCGGTATAATTTTCGAAGGCGTCAATACCATGAGTGGCAGGGGTCTGAATTTTGCGGAGACTTGCCACGGTCTCCAACCCTCCTCCTTTCTCATCCGGGCTTGGGACCGGCAATGGCGGAGTTTTTCTGGGTTCTTAATTGTCTGATATTTTGTGAGCGGTGACCTCCATCCTCAAATGTCTTTTCCGCAAACTGCAACAAGTTTTGCGGCTGCTCTTTAGGAAATCAACTGGTATACTTAGTGTGGTAGAGTTATCACCAACATTAAGAATTTGTTGTTGGATGAAACTTGCTATCCAAATATTGAAAATTTCATTCTTGCTTTAGTGATCATAATGGAAAATGCATAAAACAGGGTTTATTCATGCATTGATAACAGTATGGATAAATACATGACCAGTACAGACCTTTTGGTTCTATCAAACAGGGGCAAACACGATTCTTCATCGATTCTGGAAGTTTTTTGTCGTTCGCAGCGGTTGGTACATATTAAGTCAGTTGGCTGTAAGTCAGTGAGCCTCCACACCAAAGAAAGCCAGTGAGACACAAGCTATAATTTCGGTATTGAACAATCGTCCGGTTGACCGCTATGTTTTTGTTGTGCGCAAATAAACCGTACTCTGTGCTGTTTTGAAGAACATTCTTAACGAATGTGCATCCCGCATGTTACATATATAATTACACAGTCAAACTGAGCTATTACTAAATAAAAAATCTACAGCTGCCTTTAAAAAATAAACTGTTCATCGAGAATTTACCGTAGCCGGTACATGGCCGGGATAGGGATTATGGCGAGTGGCGAGGTTACCAGTGAACCTTAACCACCTGCCTCTCATGGTATTGCTGTTATAGAGAGTTATGCTAGTTCGGTGGCTGCCTGAGTTACCAGGGCAGAGGGTCAGGCTGCGAAAAGTCGGATATCAGTACTTGCTTCAAGCCTTCTAGCAATTGGAGGCGCAATAGCACGACGATGACTGCCATAAATCGGCAAGCAGATGGTATCACTACCAATCAGCGACGGAGCCGCTACCCGTTCTGAATGGAGTTGGCAGACAATGCGATGCAATTACAACACGTCAGAAGAGGCTCCACGGAAATGACTCAGACCTTAGAATTTTACAGAAAGAAATTGGAGTATAACCTCACTCAGAAGGAAAGAGCAGAATCTACGTGATGAGGCCGTGAGGCACTGACTGGATAGAGTTGGACTCTAATCAAAGAAGCGCCTGCGTTTTCGATTTCTGAACCTTAATAAGTGGAATTTATCCTACTCAGATGAGGACTTCACGCTGTGCGCTCAAGACTTTGCTAGTCTACTGAATGAACTAAGACCTGGCTGTCCGAATCATTGAATAGACGCCTGTCAGCGGCAGAGTGGCAATCTTCCTACTGAAGCTGCAACAAGCCAAAGCTTTGACCTTGTTACCGAGTTTTGCGGCCAATTCAGAGGGAAAATATTAGTCTGTCATGGATGAAACAGAAGATGCTCTGTGCGAAGTGCCATCTCCGGAAGGCATCGTTCTAAGGGGCGTATTTCTGTAAATATGTCGGAGCAGACACTGAAAAGTGAAAAGGCATAATTGGAAAGAATTGCCCTAACCACTTCACCAATAATGGCATGAAATTGCTGCAGTTTTGTGCAAACAACGGACTGTCTATTATAAGCAGCTTCTTGGAGCACGTACAGGGAAGGTTTATTACAGAAATCGATGATCAGTTTGATAATCGTATAGTCAGATGTGCAACCCTCTGTGATGGATGTTCTTCGCGTTAAAAGAGTCCCAGAGCTGTCAACCAATGATCGCGATGGAGCCCCGTGCGAAGACCTGGCGGTAGAAGCAGCCAGAGAGTCAAATGGGAAGCATTTTCTTCTGTGGACACGAAGAATAAACGTACAAGCAACATCTCTTTTAAGATCTCAATGATAACCGTTGTTGTGGAAACCAAGCGACGGTACTTAAGAGCGGCTTACTAGGGGCTAACTCAAAACGATGCTGCAGGCCTGCCGCCTGAGGGTCACAAACAAACATCCTAGTGGAGATCAGAGGTTTAACTGTCTGACAGCTGCAACTGAAGTGGTCGTGCATTCCAGAGGTCGCTTAGTGTTAAAACTCGAATACGGTACGAAGAAGAGTAAAAGACGGCGGTAAAAGCACAGAATAAATCAAAATCTGATGTGTTGAAAATTTTAATGAGGTGTTGGAGCATCTTGGAATACCGGAAGACCATCCGCCACCTTCGAGATATATGAAAGAGCAATCTGAGAGTGCTGTAGGACAAATCCAGAGGCCTTCTTTCCAAAGAATAGGATATACCTCAGCAAATGTACGTCGAGGAATTTCTAAGCTGAGCAACCGCAGGCAGACTCGGCTGCAAAGTAGCAAGTAACCGGTATTAGCATTTCAGTAGACTAAGTTACAAAAGCTGGAAAATACTTGAAAAGTGTTAAAATCGACCCTGAGATCCTAAACGCTATAGTTGAACAAGGCATGATGTGACTACCTTGTGGCTGACAAAGTGCAGTAACTACGGAGAAGACAGCAGTATACTGACGAACTATGGTTGTTGTGCTATTGTTTAAGACTGAATGCCTAACAGACTGCTTCAGTTATCAAGGTGCATGACGTTGCTGAGTCTTTCGGGACCCCACGCAAAGGTGCTAAAAAGGTGCTGACGCAGAACAGTTGACTCTAAGATCCGAGATGAGCAACTTGGCTTCATGTCCACTCTTAGGTCAGATTATTGTGAAATCGTGGCAGCTCACTGATCCGGTTTACATATGCTGTGCTGACTTGAAGAAAGGCTATGATCGAACCCTCGTAGCATCCTGAGGAAATGCCTGCAGGTATATGGGATCGATGGTCAGTTGTTAAGAACTATCAAGTACATATATGCTGATAACAGATGCTTCGTCCGAATAAATGGCTTCAGATTTGGCACTGGTCTACGTCAAGGCTGCTTTCCGTCCTCTCTCTTGTTTGTATTCGGCATTTAATGGGACGATGAGGCTCAGTCATGGCGACAAGTATATCAAGTTAGAAGATGTGAGGACTAGGAGGTAGCTGTTCACAGAAGGCCACGTTTTGCTGACAACATAAGATGACTTCCAGCGCCCCCTGGAAGGTTAACATGTTGGGCGACCTGGTCGCTCTACGTGAAATGATATCGAAACCGAAAAGCCGAGCTCCTTCTCGCTTTCCTTCCCGTTGCGCCATGTCTATAGACGGAGAAGCATGGAACAGGAGAAGACGTTACCGTACCCCAGGATTGTGCTTATTTGTTACTGAGAACGGGAATGGAAGGTGAACCATCCAATTGAAATGGCCTACGGTGTTCTGTGTGAATTAGTCTGAACCGTTATGACTAGAATGGAGCTGAGTCTGAAGGTTAACCTCTTTGTGATCAAGTTGATCTTCCTTCTCATGCTCTCTAATAGCAATCAATCATGGGCCATGACTGAAACTTCCATGTCGTGTAAAAGCGGATTAAAGAGCTTTCTGAGACAAATCGCTGTGCACATGTGTCTTGGCATGATTCGAGATAGCCTTGGTGTACGACCTTGTCTCTGTAAATTGAGAAGTCACTGCTGTGACGGTGAGGGCACGTTCCTCAAATGCACCTGGAATGAAGAAGAATCAGCAACTCCTTGTTCAACCGATCTGGTCAATATCCCGGGTGTTGCGTCGAAAGATTCTGCTCCAGACTGGAGTTGTCCTGTGCTGAAGTCCACATGCTGGCACAGGATCTGGAGTGTTCAAGGCAGTGCCTGTCCGGTCTACTAACTGAAGGGAAAAAGTTGTCATTGAAACTGACTGATTGGTTGACTACTTACTCATTCGAAGTAAATACATTATCATCTTTCATTCGATTTGTTTTTATTGTTGGGACTCTAATTGTGCAAATCGACTCTCTTCCGGTCATG